CCCCAAACACCAAGCCCTGATGGCCCCAAACACCAAACCCTGATGTTCCTAAACCCTAAGCCCTGATGGTCCTAAACCCCAAACCCTGATGGCCCGAAACCCTAAACCCTGAAAGCCCTGATGGCCGCAAACCCACATCCCCTGAACCCTAATATAGTTTAGGGTTTAGGGGTTTAGGGTTTAGGGTCGGTATAACTATAATACCCTATCAACCCTAAACAACGATAAATATGACCCTACCCTAAACCGCAAACCCTAAACCCTAAACCCTAAACCCTAAACCCTAAACCCTAAAGAGCTGAGGGGTGGGACTCCCAGGTGCCTGGTTTGCGCCACCGAGCACGAGTTCCGCATGGCGGGCAAAGGGGCAGTGCCAGCCTCGGTGCCTACCGTGTTTAGGGCTTAGGGTTTTAGGGTTGAGGGCCTAGGGTTTAGGGTTTAGGACTTAGGGCTTAGGGCTTAGGCTGTCGGGTTTTAGGGTTTTAGGGTTTAGGGTTTAGGGCTTAGGGCTTAGGCTGTAGGGTTTTAGGGATTAGGGTTTAGGGCTTAGGGCTTAGGGGGTAGCGGGATGCACACCTGAACCCTAAACCGTCAACCAGGCCCTATAAATAATCCGAAAATTCCGAAGACCATCTTTGCTCCTGGATAGTGTAGGGCGAAGGGGCGACTGGCATCCATTCAACAGTATGGCGCCGCCTCCGAATGCCTGGCAGGGCCTGTCCGAACTCCATCTGAGTTGTTTCGATCTCTGGTTCTGTAGCCCTAAACTCCAGAAACCCTAAATGCCCTAAACCCTAAACCCAAGCCTCAGACTTTTCGACAGGTGCTATCACATGCCGGGATCTTGCCGTCAACTCGAATCTCCAGATAATGTTTTGTATGGATGGGGTTAAGGGTTTAGGGTTGAGGGGCGAGGAGTTTGCAGTTGAGGGCTAGGGGAGGCTAACAGATTTAGCGCGAGTGATATGTCCCAAGCATTCCCGAGCTCTGAGCCTTATATTCCTGGCCCCTAAACCCTAAACCCCTAAAACCCGAAACCCTAAACCCTAAACCCCTAAACCCCAAACCCTTAAACCCCTAAACCAACCCAAAACCCCTAAACCCTAAGCCTCTGCACTTCAGCCTCCGCGTTTCTCCCGCCTCCACCTCCGACCTCCTCAGACCGAAGCTCGAAAACGTGACTCTGAGATCCCCCACCGTAGCCCTCCACCGTATAATTTAGGGGGCCTTCATAATTACCTGTAGTATTAATATAGGGGCCTTCATAGTAGGTATGAACATAGGGGCCTTCATAATTACTTATAGTATGAATATAGGGGCCTTCATAATTACCTATTGTAGGGGCCTTACTTACTACCCATGGTATTTTGGGGGGTTCCTTATTCTAGTTAAAATCTAGCAGCATAATGGGCCCCAAAACCTATAGTTATAGTCTAAGAGTATAATGGGCCCCCAAACCCTCTTCTAATTATTAAGGCCCCTATATTAAAGTAAAGCCTCTAAGCGCTCAGCCCTATAAAGCTCATTCCCATGGCCAAGAGGTCCGGGTCCCACGAAGACTCTGAGCCCTTATCCCAGAACCAAACCCCCACACCTCAAGATCGAAAGCCCGAAGGCAACTGGGTCCTTGTTGGTTACAATTTTACATGTTTTGTTATATTCAAACCCAATAAGGACTAACAATTATTAATGTAGCGCCAACAGGGAGCCAGGTAAGGCTATCCCCCTGTTGTCCGACTGTAGATGTACTGGAATAATCCCACTACTAGGCCGCTGTAGACACCCCGTCAAAGAGCCCTAGAACCTGGACCTGCTGTAAAACCTTACCAACAGACATTATATCGACTTAACCCCCCCCCCCCCCTAAACCCTAAACCCTAAACCCTAAACCCTAAACGGTTTCCGGAGGCCGGTGCTGAACATCAGCATTGAGCTGCCTCTGAGGGGCACTCACTCATAGATTTCAGGATTCGGACCCCCAGGCTTGAAGGACTTAGGAACTGAGATCCTCGAAGGCCCTACTAAGTTACTATGCAGGGACCTCTTTCGGTTTTGGGGGGTGTGAAGGACGTCGGCTGAAACTTCAGCAGCTTCGGGGTTATAGAGGCCTGTTTAGGGGTTTTAGGGTTTCGGGGTTTAGGGGTTTAGGGGTTTTAGGGTTTCGGGGTTTAGGGTTAGGGGGTTTAAGGGTTTTAGGGGTTTTAGGGTTTTAGCAGCTTTGGATGTTGCAGAGTGCTGTAGGCGTTGTCCCGCCGAAGCTTGTCCAAAGGACGAAGCTTGTAGTTGGACGTTACACGGCACGGCCTCTGATCCCGACTCCTACATCCCAAAATGCGAAACCTCAGCTAGATGGAATAATATAGGGGCCTTAAGACTCAGAATAGGGTTTTGGAGCCCATTATACTAAGGAGCCTTAATAAGGAGCCCCAAAACCCTATTCTAATTATTAAGGCCCATACATTACCCTCAGCCATTGGCAAACCCCTTGCTACAACCAATACTTGTAGCTCCGAAAGCCGAAGGCCGTAATGTAGGGGCCTAAATTCTAAATGATTACCACTATTATGGGAGGGGGGCTCCTCATTATACTTATAGAATAATGGCCCCCCCCAAACCTTATTCTGATTTTTAAGGCCTACATTATAGCTCGAGTATTAAAACCCGGAGGCCCTCAACCCAAAGGGGCGTTTGCTCAAAGCTTGCTCCGCCTGGACTTCAAAGAAGCGCGGCGGGAAAACACAACGACCCCACCATAACGAACCCCATGGTTTAGGGTTTAGGGACCCCACGAACCATGACGCTACGGGGCGTATGGGGTGAAGCTGCCAGAAACAAGTGAACTAATCTATACAGACTTCCAATCTACCGTCGACTTTAGCAACTTTGTTCCCCGGTAGTACCCGTTTGCACTTGTCCTTCTTGTGTTCCCTCATGGAAACCGACTGGTAAGAAAAAGGGCACCCTTGTCATTAGGGGCTGGTGGGGACCTAGACAACCATGTCGGTGGCCCCTGTTTTTTTTACGGATGAGCTTCATTTGGCCAGGTCCGGGTTCAAGAGTGAGATACATCCGGAGCAAATCCGGGTGAGAGAAGCACTTTGGGTTTAGGGTGTAGGTGAGAGAAGCACCTAGCCTAGGGAGAGCTGTGTTTACTCTTCTGGGCCGAGCTTTTACATCCAGGCCCACTTCAGATGCATGTTTACTCACATGCGGGCAGCTTGTAAGAGTAAGCAGACCGCCCCCAGGACCAGAAAACACGAACAACGCCCGACACCTAAACACATCTAAACCCCTGCAGCCTACTAATTCCCTATGGGTCTGATATTCTCAGGCAGGCAAGACACATCCAGACGCTTCGGAAGGGTGGGTAGTTCTCTAAACTAGGGTCCTGTCTAGGGTCTTTTATAACGGTGCCGTACTATAATTGGAACCTAAAAAGGACCCAAATTTAGGGAACTACCCATGTAGCCTCGAGAGCGTGTCGCGTTGATCGGAGACTCCGAGACTGGAACTCCTCAGCTTTGGTTTTTGTTCAGTGCGAGCATGTGATGACGTTGAGCTGCACGGCTCAACGAGACAGAAACCCTGCATCAGGAGTCCCCAACACTATGTCGATGTCCGCAAGGTCAGGCTGCACAGTCACCGTCACCCATGAATGTGCAACTTTGCGGTCATTAAACGACCTGCCCCAGGCCATTCCCTCTAGCCTGCAGGGTTTAGGTTTGCTTTTCGCCATCTCGAAGCGTTTCGACATGGCCCGAATTCACTGCTTGCTGCGCCTTGGTCCTACAACCCTAAACCCCATATGAAACCGAAACCACATAATATAGGTGCCTCAGTAATTACCTATATATATTTTGGGTTTCCTGATTATAGTTATACTGTAAAGGACGCCAAAACCCTAGTCCAATTATTAGTAAGGCCCCTATATCAACCTCTAAACCTTCTTTGAACTTGGGTGTATTCTTTCGAAATCGGATCCGAGTTCGTGGGCCTCCCTGGCTAACGTATCTTTGTGAGGTATCCCAATTGGCATCGGTACCCGGAAGCCCTAGTAACCACTACCTGGGTTCTAAGAGACCTACCTTCTTGGGCTCCTTGGTGGTTACTGGGGGTTAAGGTCAGACCTTTCCCGACAAAACATGTTTAAGCCTCTGATCAACCCTAAGTTGGCCCTAAACCCTAAGCTTACGTCCCTGAACCCTATAAACCCTAAACATCCCTAAACCGTGGTGCTGAATAGAGGGTGCCCAGCCAACTATGGGGATGCTGGAAGAAACTGGCTGCTCCAAATGAAGACAGCCCAACCATCAGCCGAAAGACCCTGTACCCTAAAACCAACCCCGGCCCAAAAGAAAAACCCTCATACCGGTTAAGGGTTTAGGGTTAGGACCCATACCCCTAAATCCTGAGTCCTTAATGAATCCCTGCACCCTAAGCCTTCAACTTAAAATTCCCAAGGTGCCTCATTGCCTTGGCCCAGCCGCCGGCCGGAGAAGCAGCTGTGCCGGAGCATCCTGGTTTACACATCCCTAAACCCTATCAAAACCTACTTTGTTGTAGGGTCCCTATAAGTTCTCCATTAAAAGGTTGCCAATAAGAGCCTGCAGAAAACGTAGGTTATGGCAGCTTAAGGTAAAAGTGGGAAGAAGGGGTTGTACCTAGGCATCTGGGCTTAGGGCCTTCAAGGCTTAGCCTCTAAGGTTGAGATGAGGGGCTTGGGGGTTATGGCTTTTGGGGGCTAGGGTTTAGGGTTTAGGGTTTAGGGTTTAGGGTTTAGGGTTTAGGGTTTAGGGTTTAGGGTTTAGGGTTTAGGGTTTAGGGTTTAGGGCTGAGGTGAGAAGCGACCCGGCACCTCAGACCCCGAATCCTGTAAGATCTACAGGCGAGTCGTCTCAAAATAGCAACCCAAAGCTCCATCACTGCAACCTGCGCTGCCGCGAACCGCAAGTTGTGTTCCGTTTTCTCTGAAGTTGGTTCAAGGCCCCTATAGTACCCAGGTTTCCCTCGTGGCCACGACCACTGGCGCGAGAATCTTCCACCAGGACTTTCGGGCAAGGAATTCTCGGCAAGTGTAGGAATTGCTACCCTGAGCCCTAAACGCCTCAATCCTAAACGCAGGGTCCCTGAACCCCGAACTCGCAACACTCTACCCGCGTTTCACTTCTGACTGCCACGAAGGATGTCCAAGTTGTTTGTCATGCTTGATTGTTGCTGTTGTAACTGTTACTGCAAGACCATGGTGCTATTGCATAACCAGCTTTGCATGTTGAAACTCTTCAGGACGTGGCCCCAAAGTTCTGTCGCCATTCAGAAGCAGGCTGACATGGGACTTTGGGGTTAAGGGTTGAGTTTCTTAGGGTCATGTACTGTCAGCGAGGAGTCCCCATGCGGCATTTGCTTATTTTGATCCTAACTGATCTTTCCATTGCAAGTTGTAGTATGGAAGTCTGAATATATTGTTTTAGTAGATGATGCTATTCTTCATGGTTCTTTAGCAGATCTTTAAAGTTGAAATAGAACCCCCAAACCCTGTTATGATTCTCACGGCCCCTATATCAGACCGGTAGTCAGCATGAGTGTCAGTCTGCTCTCGATGGCTCTGGTAATGTGGAAGACTGTATATTCATATTGAGCTGCTATCTTGAGAACTCCATGAGACAACATAAACACTAAGGGTCAGAATAGTATCATCGTTGTTGCATGGCAACAAGAAGTTCATCATCATATACCAAAGACATGTATTAGGAGTCTTCAATCCTTCACTAAACATACACGAACATCGGAATTTATGCCGCCTACGCTGCAAGTCACGCTTAGTGTAAGCCCATGAAACAGAACCCGATGAAGTGCAAAAATCCTCGGCCGCAGCCTGCGAAGCCTCTGAGAAGCGACAAGCTGCACACACACACACACACAAGTCATACTGTAGTATGGCTCTTCATTCTGTACGATATTTTTAGGTTAGTCTATAGTACTGTTTCATCGTGTTATATGGTAGTGTAATGCACGTATCGTATGCTATAGTCTACTATAGCATCTTTTGGTACAATCGAATGTACTGTATCATCTATTTACCTATCTACCTATCTACCTATCTACTATCTATCTATCTA